GTACTGGCCGCTAATTGTTGCTGACCAAAGTAAATGGCAAGACAGAGTTCGAGTCGGCGGAATAAGAGAAAGGGTAAAAGAAACTACTAGCAGAGGGAAAGAAAGCCGAAATATAAGAAATGACGAAAAGACGTCGATCAATATCGACAAACATGGGAAAAGTCATGCAACATAAGTCTGACAAGCAGACGACCGTTACTGGTCTGATCTGTTAAACCTGTGGGCACAGTCGTTAGAGCACCAAGGATTGCTGTTGGCGATGCCATTTTTAGCAGGAGCTCCCGCTAAAGCTCAGATGCTCACTGCCGTAGGTTTGAATCAACGCCAACCTCTTCGTCTGCACATCCCTTCCTCTATACTGGTTGGTTCTCTGTTTGCTTCCCTGTAATACTGGAGCTTATCTTTTTACTTATTCAGTCTGTATGACAGTTTACATCCTGTTGGCCTTGCTGCACCGCTTGTGAAGGCTTTTCGCCTTCACACCCTGTGTGGTTGGCTGTGCAACCACTCCTTGCAATCTGTCTCTCGGCCTTTGACTCACTTTGTTTGGGTTTGCAGACTTTTGGCCCTGGCTTAGTCGGGCGACAAGGCTCGCCACTGGAACTCTTCTAGCGTGCTTCTAGAGCAAGCTTTTCCTGAAGCGGGGCCAGTCGCGAACAAAGGGACACGACGGAAACAGAGGACACTAGGAAAACTATGCGTATGATAACTGCTATTTGTTTTCGCAATTGCCCATTGCCGAAGTCGTACTGTGCATTCCCATTTGCCGTCTGATTTTCAGCCGTTATCTAGAGCATCTCGCGCAATTGCGCAACAGCGCCGACCAGGCGCTTTCTGGTAGTTGTAGGATATACTTCTACCTCACCAACGGAGAATCACACAAGTATCTTGCAACGAGGAAGTTTTCGTGCCTGCTTACCTCGTTCTGCGCGCACCCTTGGTGCAGGAAAGGACGGCCAGGTTACACCGACCATGACATTTGCGCTTGGGCCGCCATCTTCGTTTCTTTTTCTTTGGTTGTGGCATCTTGTTTTAAGCCAGTCCAACTGCGGCCCACCCGGGCTCTTTCATTTGCGTTCCTCCTTTTTTACGGAGTATTGCCCTCTGCCTGTTCGTTCTCTGGTTGTCAGTTGCTTGTTTGGCTTTTTCAACGATACGTCCTGCGTTGCTTCTCCCCGCCCCTGTTTGCCAACGCCTCGGCCACATTCTCGTTTTTCATCGGCCCTGCCGTATTTACTTTCAAAGTCGCCCCACCATACATACAGCGGTGGCGTGGCTAGCAGTTCGCCTTTGCGCCGTGTTACTGCGCTACTTCGTAAGCGAAACCAACACAGGCCATAACAGAGGTACTTTAGAAGCACCTAGAAGAGAATATAACTTTAAGTTAAAAAATGACTGAATGAGAAAAAACTCAAATGGAATTGATTGGGGTCAGGGGCGTATTGCGGGTGGTATGATGGTGACAACACAAAAGTTGAGACAAAACACTGGATTGTCAACTGACATTGATTCTGTAGCCGTTGGCCGTCAGAATTGCACTTGTTTCCTTTTGATCGTCCACCGTGCTGGGGTGGACTTTTGGCCTATGGTTTTCACTCCAGCCTTCGCACCCCCCTCTCTTATCAAGTGCGCCCTCGCAAAGTGTGTGAACACCCACAACAGCGTGCCCTTGTCATCACATTCCTTTGTGAGCTGCAAGCCAAAACATAGATTTTGCTTTGTTGCACATTGCAGAACGCGCTAAAGCAGCCTTTGCGCAGAGGATACGTCGTAATAATTGCACCTGTTGACAATGTGCAAGTGAACGGCAGCTGATTTGGATGGACAAGCACCCTACCGACGACTAGGATCCTGCCCACGACGTGGTTCGTTTATCTGGTCTACACATATTCTCGGTACTTCGTAATGATTTCGCTCTCTATTCTGTTAATCGTTATTTCTTTCTATGTGAACACTTTTTCTTCCATCTCCTTTGAAATTTACTAAGTGATGGCTCAGTCAGTCTGAGTCTTGCATCGAATCGCCGAGATGGGCATAAATGTGTGGCAGGTTGGGATTCAGTACCATGGTTGACGAACCTAGAGTTACAAAAGTGCAACTGATTAGAAGGGAAGCCCGCTATCTGCTAGTGGTCTGCTAATCCATAATCCCCTTCTGATCACCTGCTCCAGGCTACTCCTTGCCTGCTTATTGCCTTTATGATGGAAATGGAAAACATTCCAGAAGCCTGGAAGCCCGCTAAAGTCCTTGGTGGTGGGTTGCATTTCTGATGCCTCCCATCGCCTCCCTTCATCGAAAGGGGGTGCGTCTACCCCCCACCCCCTTTGTACCTTCCCCCCTGTTGGTGCACGCAGCCATGTACCGCACTCCGCAATGATGGGTCACCTTTTCTTCCTGCCCGATGGATCTGGCTGACTAGTCAGCTAGTCTCCTAGCCCACATTCTAATTACTCCACAGAACAATTCGAAGCCCCGTAAATGCCAAGCAAGTGAGCCAATCTGCGCCTTCGCTGCCCGCCAACAAGCACGAGATTCCTTCTATGGAGACGCCGGTACAAGGTACTTTCTTGTACCCACCACCAGGCACAGTGACTAGCTGGCCATCCTTCACTCCTGCCTTCTTGCCTGGGCCGCTTTCTCTTAAGATCTTCGCATCATCCATTCCTTCTTCTGCCCGTCCTCCTTCACGCCTTCCTTTCCTCTCCCCTTTCCCTTTTTGCATATTGTCCCCCCCCCCCCCCAAAGGTCTACTGTCGAGCCCACTTCCTATTCGGTCACGTTTACTTCTTTTCTCATCACCCTGTCATTATTACTTTCGAAAGATTTTTGATCACGACTCGACCTGTTGTGTTCCCGACTTTACGACTTTGTTTCACCCCACGATCGGATGTCGCCTGTCTCGTCGGCTCTGTCTGAATATCGCCTGACCTATTTTTTCAGTTCTCTTGTGTCGCATCGTTTACCACCGCATTTTCAGACTATGCTGCTTCGGAAAGCTGCATAAAATCTGGAAAACTACTATTCCCTAACTCGTCTACCCTAACAGAGGCCCCTGCCGCGGCGACTGAGAGGGAACCATTCCCCGTTTCTTTTTTTTTTTTTATGACGGCGACAAGCGCACACGGCGTATGGAGCAGTCTCGAATAAAGGACTTTAGTACTGCCTCGCGTTTTCCTATTGACGCGTTGCACATTGTCAATCTTTTCGTCTCTGCTGCTTTACGACTGCCTTCCACGACGGTATACCCTCACACATCGCCCAATTAGAACAACTTGCATGGCGTTTCTCTGTGCCGACTTTTGAGGCGTTGTCTCCGTCTTGGGCATCCTTCCATACAGACTAATGGTCAAATCCGACGTTAACCTATTCGGCTCTGTCGAAAGTATGAAACGAAGGAGGATTCGGATCACCTCAAAACTGCCCTACCTTAGCCCGTCCACCAGCCCACGAGAGCTTTCTCCTGAGCCCTCAACAGTTGCGGGGAGGCCTGGAGTTGTTGGCCTCGGCGATTGCGTTGTCACGTCACAGACTCGCTCGCCCCCATCATCGTCTTCGTCATCTCTTTTGAACGTATCTCTTCCGAAGTCTACCACAACCATGGCATCCTCACGACCCACAAGTGTCGCTTTTCTCGCGGCGACCAACCGCCCAACCCTCAAAGATATTCTCGCGAATTCCGCACCACCACCATGGACCCTCGGCGCCTTTATGGCTTACCTGTCCCAGAACCACTGCCTGGAAACGCTCGAGTTCACCATGGAGGCCGAGCGTTATCAGACTACGTTCGCTCAAGTGCAACTAGACGAGGGCCAGGACGATGCCGCACAATGGTCACAGGACGCACGCGACTACACTTGTGCTATTTGGCGCAGACTTATTGGCACCTACATCACGCCTCTAGGCCCTCGCGAAGTCAACCTTCCTGGCCCCGTCCGAGACCGCCTCCTTGCTCTGGATAAGAGCCGTTTGCCTCCCCACCCTAGAGAACTCAACGAGGCTGTCACCATCGTCTATGATCTTATGAACGACTCGGTCTTGCTCTCCTTCGTCGATTCTGTAAACACAGCCGCCCATGAGCAGGACCAGCCCATGACTAACGATGCCGACGACCACCAGCAACATGATGCTCGCCAGGGTCGCACTCGTATGCGTATGCCGAAGGACTCATCACGCCCTCGTGGCGATGATTCCAGCCGTTCCCCCAAGCCGTCGTTTCTGCCCCAGCTGAATCTCACTCGCCGTAGCGAAGGCCGGGGCCGCTCGCCTTCGGCCTCTTCCGCGGATGCATCCTCAGTGGAGCGTGTTGGACTCGTCGATGACAATGGTAGCTCGACCCCTCCGGCTGGCGAACCGCTTACGCCGCCGACAACACCACCGACGTCGGATTGGAACTTCAGCACGTCGCCGAACGGCCTGCAGCGTGCCATTTCCGTCCACAATGCTGGCTGGAAAAGAATGAGCGCAAAGCTGGGCCTCGGTAGTCTGAACCGAATGACACGCTCCAGCCGCCGCCCCAACAATACTTCGAACGGCAGCAACCACAGCACCGTCGCTTGCGAAGGCTCCTCCTCGGCATCCGCTGATGGCGATGCATCGAGCGGGATGGCCGTTGACCAGCAGCAACCCGGCCAGAACTTATGAAGGCGGCGGGTCGTGTCGCAACCGAGAAACTCTTCCACGAGCACAATCACACCAGCGTCCACTGACAGCGCAGCAGTCCCTGCAACTGCACCAGGTCAGACTGGCGTCACCGATATCAATGCCACTCCAGCCGAAACTATGGCAATACCGATTTCCATACAGAAACATTCAGATGACCAAATTGCTGCGTCGACTCGTCAAAGAGCTGCTCCATTGCCGCAGTTGAGTAACAGTTTGGTCATTGACAGTGGCTTTGAATGGGAGGAGCCTCATCCGGGACAACGCTTTGTTCTCAGCCCGTCGGTAACAAGGCACAAGCGACCAGAATGTGTCAAGTAACGGTCACAGAGCCAGTCGCTATGTCCGCGTCGACATTGACCGATGCTCAGCGTAGTGTCCGACGCGTAACGGACTTGTCTCGGAGTGCGCCACCGTCTTATCACGGAATTTGTCCCGAGAACGCGGCATTTTCGTCGCCTTTGTCTTCGGTATCGCCCCTAACGCCAACGGACGGTGAAGTAGTTACCTCTGCTTGTTGGTTGCCTTTTGACGTTGTTAGTGATGATGACAGTGACTACAACGGCATCCATGATGTTGGCCAGTCATTGGACTTCCACATCGATTGCAACTCTTACGGTGCGACTTCGACGCCCGCGGCGCTGGAGACTGCAACAATCGCTGCAACCAGTCTTTACGGCGACGAGCTTACCATCGCATTGTCAAACGGCGACGCATCCACGGTCCGCGGGGTTGTCGTTCCAGCACATCCATTGATGGACTTGTCCAACTTTCTGGGACTACGGTCAGCAGCTCCACCACGGTCGATCGTCACGCAGGACAGAGCAGCATCACCATCCGCCAAACCATTGGTAGCAGGTCCAGTAACATTACAGACGATGTTGGCTTGAGGCGGCTGTCCCGCGCAACCACGGCAAGCCTGAGCTACGATGATGATTTTTACAGGTGGGAAGCCGAGCTTGTGCACCGGAAGTCGAACTCGTGCTCTGTTGCTACTAGCCTCCCACCATTAATTGATGACTTGGCGCGCAGCGTCAACAACAAAAAAACCACAGCAACAGCAGCAGCAGTACCACCAGTGTTGTTAGCATGAGCTCAGACCGCGGACAAGCAATTGGACGTCGGCGATGTGATGGACAAACACGACGGCGGAGTTTCTTCCATCGCATGTTCACTGGCAATCGTCGCGGCTATCATAGCGGAAAAATTCGCACGTGCCGGACCTGCTAAGTCCATCTTCAACAGTATCTGTGCCCACCGTGGCTAGTCCTTCAACAGTAGGGCGGTATCGGTATCGGAGGCATCTTTGACCTCGAAATCGGTCCCCAGCGAACCACAGTTGACGTTATTGGTCAGCAATTATACCACTGTGCGCGAAAGCAACCGACTCTTATTTTCCAACCTGCCTGGTCCGTGGAGGCATCATCCTACCTGCCATCTTCTCTTAATTTCTCCCCCTTTTTGGCCCTTATCTCTCTTTTTTGTCACATAATCTGGTCTCGACTCTCCGCGGCGGAAATTCCCAAGGAGCATCGTTTGCTTTTGTTATTAGTTTTGTTTTTAGCATTGCTCGGAGTCATTGGAATAGGAAAAGGGATGTTGAACGGTTTATGGCGTTACGATACCGAGCTGATCTTTAGCTTGTTTTTTTTTGGGCAATCAGCTCTCTGGTTATGATATAGAAGGATTTCGTGATTCTTCTGCTCTTCTAATGAAAAACGGACATCACGAGTCAAGAGGGTTCAGGCCTACTCAGACGAGTAACGATTAATCAATAATTGCTTTCACAATGAATTCTGGTTTGATTGAGTTATGACTGTAACAAAGGGACTGCTGAGGCCATACTAAATAGTCGTCTACGTATGCTGTACGTCGATGGACTCTCGCATTTTCCGTATCTTTAAGCCTTTATAGCTGTTGCGAGAGTCTGGGGCAGAGAGATTACAGTAACAAATGTGATATTGTTGTGTGTCTACGACGCTTATTCAGCCACGAGACGCCCCCACTTTAGCTGTTCCAGACCCATGTCATTGGAGGAAATATTCTGACCAGCATGGGCAGGAGGGCCGTTGCTTTTTAGCATGTCGGCCTCGTTGAGCGATAGTACACAGTGAAGCTGCCCGGAAGAGGAAGTGAGGTCTGAGACCAGTAAGGTAATTGTGCTATGAGATCTTTACCCATATGCGAGTTACAGCTACTTCCGGCGTGAATCGGAGACACCCCGGGCTGGCGGCAAACGAAAGCCACGCAAGAACACAGATTTTCGCTTGTCGATGCAAGCTGCGATCGAGCCGTACAACAGCCGAATAATGGGGAAACGAATCAATTTTTCTCGCAAACAAAAAAGGTGCTCTGGATGAGAGGATCGGACTTTCGGTCGTAGCCGTGGAGACTACAGTGTGTTCTTTTTTGGCTGGGCAGCAGTCGTTCTTTCTTTCTTTTTTCCTTCTCTCGTCCTGCCCTGGTTTTTGGTCTCCCCCCCCCCCCCCCCCCCCCAAAAAACCATTTAATTGCGAATTTGACGATTTCGTTTCCTAGGCGGTCTCTTTTCAGCCGCTATTTGAACCAAATGTCGCTTCTCACCTAAACCGATCTTCCCTTGCTCCACCGTGTCGTCATCGCTCTCACTAGTGACTGTTGCTGCAGCTGTTCAACACCAGCCAATCCTATCAGCTCGTTTGTTAACGAGGTCCTTTATTCCGTGGTCCCCGTCGACTTCATTTGATCCTATTCGCATCAGTTTCATCGACATTGTTCTATCGACATTGCAGCTCTGTTACAACGTTGCATCCTTTCTTTTCGATAGGGCTGGCTCCTCGACGGCCAGCAACAGCAAAGTAAGTATTCCTGAAGCTCACTTCAAGCGACAGCTTGAAGCTGCTTTAGTTCCAGTTTTCAACACCCACAATGCGTCGCTTCTTTGGTCCGGGCACCTTTCGTCGGGCGGTCATCGCCATCGGTGCGGCCACAGGGACGGGTGGACTCGTCTACTATGTTTATCGCCCACGCAACATCCCCGGCTTCGAGCCCCCCGTTGTCCCTCCTCCCATCTATGGCGCCGACGGCACATTCACTTTGCCCCGGTTTCCTCGCACAAAGCCACGCGACGAGCATATTGCCGACCTGAAGAAAAGCACGAGTGGTGACAAGGATGCTGAGTATGACATGCTTATCATTGGCTGCGGCGCTACGGGTTCAGGTGTGGCCCTGGATGCGGCTACACGCGGTCTGAAGGTGGCTGTCGTGGAGCGTGACGACTTCAGCAGCGGTACTAGCAGCAAAAGCACCAAGCTCGTACACGGCGGTGTTCGCTACCTCGAAAAAGCCGTGTGGAACTTGGACTATGCGCAGTACGAGCTGGTCAAGGAGGCTCTGAAAGAGCGCAAGTACTTTTTGCAGACGGCGCCGCATCTCAGCTCGTGGCTGCCTATCATGCTGCCGCTCGACCGCCTGTGGAAAGTCCCCTACTACTGGGCCGGCACCAAGTTTTACGACTTTTTAGCCGGAAGCGAGGGTATCGAGAGTTCGTACTTTTTGACCAAGAGTAAGGCCATCGATGCGTTTCCCATGCTGAAGCAGTCGGGGCTGGTGGGCGCGCTTGTGTACTACGATGGCGCCCACAACGACTCGCGCATGAATGTCAGCATTGCCGTGACTGCCGCTTTGTACGGTGCTACTGTGGTCAACCACATGGAGGTTACTTCTCTGACCAAGGACGAACATGGTCGCCTGACAGGTGCCACCATGCGTGACACGGTGCAGGAGCGTGACGGTAAGACCGCCACAGACATTACAGTGCGCGCGAAATGCGTCATCAACTGCACGGGGCCCTTCACCGATGGCATTCGCAGGATGGACGACCCGGCGTGTGCAGAGATTGTGGCCCCAGCCTCGGGTGTCCACATCACTCTGCCAGGCTACTACAGCCCCGGCAAAATGGGCTTGATCGACCCGTCTACGTCGGACGGCCGCGTCATCTTCTTCTTGCCTTGGCAAGGCAACACCATTGCCGGCACTACCGATGAACCTGCTGCTATCGCCAAAAACCCTTTGCCCGACGACAAGTCTATTGAGTGGATTCTTAACGAGATCCGCCACTACCTTTCGCCTGATATCAATGTGCGGCGCGGCGATGTCCTTGCTGCTTGGTCCGGTATCCGCCCGCTGGTCAAAGACCCCAAGGCCAAGAACACCGAGTCACTAGTGCGCAACCATCTGGTCGACGTGTCACCGTCGGGCCTGCTGACATGTGCCGGTGGAAAGTGGACCACGTACCGCCAGATGGCCGAAGAATGCGTTGATGCCGCTATCAAAGAGTTTCGCCTATTGCCGCAGCCGCTGGTCAATGTGCCCCGAGTGAGCGGAAGCGAAGCGATTGATGATGGCGCCATTCTTGACGGGTCCTGCCAGACGCATCAGGTGCGCCTCATTGGTGCTCACGGCTTCAGCCGGACGCTATTTATCCACCTGATTCAGCACTTCGGCTTGGAAACTGATGTGGCCAAGCATCTGACCGAGAGTTACGGTGACCGTGCCTGGACCGTTGGCTCACTGTGCGGCCCTACAGAGAAGCGCTTCCCTGTCCGTGGTAAGCGAATTTCACAGCTGTACGACTTTGTCGATGGCGAGGTGCGGTATGCTGTTCGCCACGAGTATGCGCAGACGGCCATTGATGTTTTGGCGCGGCGGACCCGGTTGGCGTTCTTGAATGCCCAGGCGGCACTGGAGGCTCTGCCCAAAGTCATCGACATTATGGCAAAGGAACTGAACTGGGACCGACGCAGACAGGAATACGAGTGGAAAGACAGTATGTGCTTCCCTCCCATTGCAAACGTTAGATTTTTTGGCCTTGACTAACTAACCAACACAACAGCCGTCGCGTTTCTGGAGTCCATGGGTCTCCCTCAGCCCATGCTCACGGCCACCCGGGCTCAGGTCGAGTCCGGCAAGTTCGACTTTTCGTCATCCCTGGAGTATAAGATGTATTCCCGCCATGATAAACCCAAAGATGAGCCCGCATCCTAAAGACACCGTGAGATATTCGTCCAGGAATGTTACCACCTGTCATACGATTGATACAGACCATTTGAAGAACAACGGAGCGCCAAAATGCGGCAGATGCGTGGTCACCATCCACTCCGCATAGAGGCAATGATAGGCTGAGCTCATTGAAAATTACGCACATGCTTATGGCGCCTTACACTATACTTACCGACGTACTTTGCAGCCATCCTGTGTACGCATGCAACATACACAAAAACTGTAGTCGACGGCAAGCCAAGGGATGGATGGGGAAGCAAACGACATGCCAGGTGAGGAGACATTGGATTTTGGCCTCGATGGTTGAAAGGCGTCATAATAATGGTTTAATTTACCGTCCTAGGTAAGTGCCGTTCTGCGATGTTTGGTCTTGCTTGTTTGACTTCTGTCAGTCAGCAAACAAATTAGGCAGGTATATGTCATAAGCGGCACCTTCCCTGGATGTTTTTCTGTGGTATATCATGATGCGTTTTAATTTTCTGTAAGACTTAAACGAAATAAGAATTATACGAAATGTACATAGGTTTCCTCTATCCTCCCGCAGGCATTACTATCACATGACTTTAATTACCCATGGAATATTCTTATCCAACACATAAGTATAACACAGACAATGGCCGCAGGGCCATCCTCGTCCGACTGTTCTCACACCCCCGCTACCTTTCCCAGTATCGAAACCGCGTCCAATCTGGCTGGCTGTCGAACCTCATGGAGACACAAAGATTCATCCGAAAATACCCCCAGCAGTGTTGACAACGATGACGCCGCCTACATAGTCCCCGCCATTCCCGCGTCCAGTCTGCTACGGGGATCTATACCAGTTCTCGCAGAAGAAGGTTCATACGCTCATATCAACAACAGTGCTGGGCCACCACCCATTTCCGTTACGCAGAGATCCACCTCTCCGGCTTCAACCGCCTCCGGCGTCGCTGATCCATCAGGTCTTCGAGAAGTGATGCCATGGGTTCAAGACGACGGGATACACACCGCCGGAGTGGAATGCGAGGATACTGATCATTCAGCATCCATAATCTCGCCTCCTCTCCGAGTTCTTGTCTACCGCCGACAACAGAAGCTAAAAGAGCAAGAAAAGCAAGGGCCGACTCGCCAGACAGCATCCGGACCAATCCTAGCACCCCTGCAACCGCAATACACCCCTCCAAGGCGCCGTCCCACGCCACCGGGTGTGCCATCTTTTGAGTCCGCCAACCGAACGTTGGAGTCACGACTGGCTTTGCGGCGCTACGATACTGGCCAGCCGATGCACAATACTAGCAATACTAGTACCGTACGGACAAGCAGCAACGGTCTCAGTAACGGCCCTTTTTCGAACCTCTCCCTTTAGCGGCGGAGAGAAAGGCCCGCGACAGCATCACCGAGCCGTTTCGGTTTCAGCTCCGGGTGCAGACGCACACGCGGCAACGGCACGCGCCGGCAGGGAATCGGCGGTGGCACTAGCACTGGTGGGTGTTTTAGCCCGTTGCACGGACACTCCTCGACTTTTCACAGCTCGTCACCTCCACGTCCGCTGCCGCCGGTCTGGCGTCCGCCGGTGAGCCAGCACACAATTGTGAACCATCCTTGGGCGCGAGAGACGTTGCCATTTGCAAGGCCCGCGTCGCCGTCACCGCCTGTGCCAGCTCCACCAGAAATACCACAGGCTTCAGAGCCGACAGACTTAAACAGAGGGCAACAAGTGCCATTTTCTTGGTTCAATTCGGAAAATGGCGCCGACAACAATGCTGACACACCGGGTCCTCGGGGCGCGAGCGATACCATACCAGAAATCACATCGGTACAAACGGTGGCAGAGATGGAGGCCCGCGACGGCAGACCAGCGCGGCGCGTGACGCTGAGTGACTACAGCTTTTTGCAAGAAAGGCAAGATGAGGGTATAGAGAGTGCACATCCTACGTGCACGCGTCCTGGAGCATCGGGAGAAGTGCACGTTGCCACGACCGAGCCTGTTCCTATTGCTATTGCACCTATGTCTTCCCATTTTTCCGCGACAAGGGATCATCTGGGCCGAACCTGCGTAGACACCCCTCCGGTAGAATCGACTTTCTGTTTATGCTGGAATTGGCGTGTACCGAGCTGGCCAAACAGCTGCTTCTCTGAAGAGTAGTGGGTGTCTCTTGACCTATATATCCTGTGAATAAAATAGAGTCAACCCAAACCTAAAAGTACGATCTTGCTTCTTATCTCACGACATGACGACAACATGACCGCAGGGCTGACGCAAACGTGACTGGTTATCGTAGTCGCATAAGGCCAAAGAAAATCTGAAGTGCAGTGCATAAAGCGCCCAATGCTCTACTTCACCAGCGTATAGATCACTCCCGTCTGCGTAACCTCAAGCGTATTACGCTTATGACATTCCTAAATACTCCATATCCTGTTTTGAAATAGTAATGGCAATTACTGTCCTCCGTACATTGATTTTTACATTGAGCGTTACACGCTCCGTAAACTATGACTACTAAAGTTAGCGGTATATGCTAAGCTATGTGGGATACCCAAACATTGTTGAGTACGTAATATTTTGTGCCATCCCGCTAATAGGCCTTTTTTCTCCATTTGCTTGCTAACCATCCTGATCAAGACGGCAAAGTCGTTTTGACGCCGATCCCGGTCCTGCAGCCACACAACGATACAAGGGCGGATTGACTTTAGACGGCCAATAACTGCGTCCTGTCATCAATCACCAACGAACCTTTGATTCCCGTAATCCACTTCATCTGGCTCACAAAATGGATCCCGCGTCCGCCACCGCCCCCGCGGTCGCAGCGGTTACATCTTCAACCACCACGGCCTCAGATCCTGCGCAGACGTCGCTGCAACAAAAGTCCCTTCGCCTGCAATCTGTGAAGGAGATCCGGGCACTGCCGTCCTTCCAACCAGACCTCTACCAGCGCGGCTGGTTTTCTATACCACACCCCACCCTCCCGCTCTTGGCTACCGCCCACAACAAATCCGTCACCATCTTTTCGCTCGCCACATTCTCTGCTCACAGTTCATTGACCGGCGGCCACAGTAGGTCCATCCGCTCGGCCACATGGAAGCCAAGCTTACCGCCCAATAAGCTGTGCCTGGTCACGGGCAGCTTCGACTCGACTGCGGGTCTGTGGCGCTATGAACAGAACGACCAGTCGGGCAGCGGTGCGCGCCTGGAGACGGAGATCACGGCCGGACGCCGGCGGGTGGGCAACGGCGACAGTGACGACAACGATGGCGAAGAGAACGACGAAGACGACAACGACAAGGGCGACGAGGAGGACGACGGCTGGGAGTTTACGCTCGTGTTGGAGGGCCAGGAGCATGAAATCAAGAGCGTCGCGTTCTCGCCCTCGGGCCAGTACCTGGCGACGTGCAGCCGCGATAAGTCCGTCTGGATCTGGGAAGACGTCGGCGGCGACGAGGACGACGACGAATGGGAGACTGTGGCCGTACTCAACGAGCACGAGGGTGACGTCAAGTGTGTCGCCTGGTGCCCCGACGTGCCCGGCCGCCGCAGCGGTAGTGGGCGCCATTACAGCCTGGACGTGCTGGCCAGCACCAGTTACGACAACACAATCCGCATCTGGCGCGAGGACGGCGACGGCGAGTGGGTGTGCGTGGCCGTTCTTGAGGGTCACGCGGGCACCGTTTGGGGGGTGCAGTGGGAGGCCGACCTTGAGCGCAAGCGCTTTCCTCGTTTGTTGACGTGGTCTGCCGACCAGACTCTACGTATCTGGGAGCTGGAAGTGGAAGACGAGGATGAGGAGGTGGGCACTGACGGAAAAGGCAGCGGCCAAGGCGCGAACCCACTGTTCCGCAGCAATCTTGGTGGTGTCCCCAACACGATGCGCCGCTCCCTGCACGAGCCATGGACCTGTACGGCTGTGCTACCACGCGCCCATACACGAGATATCTACTCCGCGTCTTGGAGTGGATCCAACGGCCTGATTGCGAGCACGGGCAGCGATGGTACAGTGGTAGTGTACGCCGAGTTTGATGGCCCGGCACCAAGCGTCAAGGATGACCTGACGACCGAGGACGAGGCTGCCGCTATGCTTGACGGAGATGTTCACATGACCAACGGCAATAGCAACGCGCCAGCTGCTTCGAATGGTCGCAGTCGCAGCCTAGGACGTGTCACCAACCATGCCCATAATCACGCACACGGCCACGACCACGCTCATGATCATGCTCAAGAACACGACGAGCAAAGCCAGCACCAAACTCATTCTCATGCCACTCACCACAGCAACGCTCCGGCCAGGCACTGGCGTGTTGTCGGCACGGTCGCCAGCGCTCACGGGCCGTATGAGGTCAACAATATCATATGGTGCCGCCGCTTTGATGCCGGCACCGATCGAAGAGGCGTGGAGGAAATGCTGGTGACAACTGGCGACGACGGCGTGGTGCGGCCATGGGAAATTATTACGTAGAAGAAGGTGTTCGCGCAATTACAATTCAGAAAGTCTGATAACTGTAAGGCATGTATGCCGTGAGACATAACTTTACGAGGTCGCACATGTCATTACATCGAACATATAAAGGTACGATAAATATTAAAATATATATTTATAGATAAAGGATCCAAAGCTCGAGCTGGGTATCACTAGACTGAGGTGAGGACGCATTTGAACTGGCATTATTTTGATGTACATGTTTAAAACTCCTATTATAGGTAATGAGAAGACGAAACAACCAGTTGTTCTAAGTTTGTGGTGATAATATAATGAAAAGGGAAAGAAAAGCCAAAAGTCGAATACATGACAAAAAAAAAAAAAAAAAAAAAAAAGAAAACTAGGCCAATCCCCCCCCCAGGGCAATATTCCCATAGACATTTGTAGCCCCACACCTTCCGTTCCGCTGGTGTCTTTACAGAATATTTCAGCTGCATTGAGCAGGAATGCACAAGTGCCATAGAACAGCGCAGCAGAGTAACTAGAAAAAACTTGTCGGCAATCCCGGCTCTCAGACCTTGCAATGAGGGCAAAAGTAGAGCGCACGGTAACGGTTTGCTCCTAACAACGCGCATCCTCCGGTGCGTTCAGGGCCCTGTTTCGCTCCACGAACAGCGGTCCGACGCAGAAAAGAGTACCGTGCATTTTTGGGGAGACACTGTGGACTGGGATGGAAAGCTGATCTATTACAGCGTGGTATGAGGTCGCGGCCTGTCAGAATGTGGATGTCACGGGACCAAACGATCATAGTATGATGGTGACTGTCGTGCACCACGACGGCGACCCACTTATAGCTGCCTACTGAGCTGCGACCGCTCACGACGTAAGTCGAATCCAACGTTGGTTCTTCTTTAACACTACACTTTCGAACGACCGGAGAAAAATCCGATGCGATAGCACTCTAGCGGACTGTGAATGGCGCCTTGACGCTTTATATAGCGTGACCTGCTGTCTGCTGGACGACAGCTGCGAAGTCTGAATGACGACGAAGGCAATCTCGCGTGACGGCATTTTTAAGCCGGTCTGCCTAGACTAGACGAGCAGCACAGGTATTTAGAGCCCACAACACACCGCCCGGCATGGCGGCTGCTCAGGGAAATGCCGTATACAAGAAGAAAGAGGGCATCCTTGCGGTGTCGGACGACCACACCCGGGTCACATGGACACCTGTGGCGGGAGGATCGGCCGTGACGCTGGCGACAGCGAATATTACAAGTGAGTCTGGCTTGGTATAGCCCCATGTGCCAGGTGTGTGACTGTCCTCTTGGCAAAAACTGACGGTAGCATAGATTTGCAGCAAACCCCCGACACAGTCCCCAAGGTCATGCTCAAGATTTTTGAGAAGATCCCTGGCACCGAAGGCGAACCGACATCCTACCTCTTCCACTTCAACCACCCCAGCGACGCCCGACCCCAAGCAAATGTTGTCAAAGACCTGCTGTCGCAAATAATAGCAGACAGCCGTGCGAATGATCCAAGCCTCCCAAAACCAATCTCTGCCGCTGGCACACCTCAGCCCGATGGTGGCACTCCGTCGAGCGGCGGCCGAGCCAAGGCCGCAGATGCCGGTGCGGGACTCTCCGCCGCCATGTCGTTTGCCAACACCGTGGCCGCAAAGCCTGCTGCAGAGCGCTGGTTCGACGACAGCCAGCTAAAGGTGGACATTGAGCTGCAGCAGTCCTTGATGAAGAAGGACAAAACTCTCCACCAGACATACATGGACGCACAAAAGTCCAAACCGGAATCAATATCGGACGCTGCCTTCAACGCGCAGTTTTGGTCGACGAGGACGTCGCTTCTTCGAGCACACGCTATCGAGACCAACCAAAAGAAAGGCGCATACAATGTGTTGTCGACCATCAAACCCAAGACGGTGGACGGCGAGTTGAAGCTGAACATCAGCCTTGAGCAGGTGCAAATGATCCTTAAGCAGCACCCCCTGGTGCAGCGCATCTACAACGAAAACGTTCCGCGCATCCCCGAGGCGCAGTTCTGGTCGCGCTTCTTCTTGAGCAGACTCTCCAAGAAGTTACGAGGTGAGCGCGTCTTGGACAGCGAGCGTGCCGACCCGCTGTTTGACCGATTCGACGAGGCAGATGATGCGGTCGTATCAAGTCTTATCCTCTCTTCTCATGTCCCGCATACAATCGACCTCGAAGCCAACGAGGAGAACCGGGGCGGCTTCAAGGGCGGAAACCGCCAAGATGTCGAGATGCGGCCACGATCCAACATCCCCATTGTGCGCACGCTGA